CGCACCTGACCCCCCACCAGACTCACGCCGGGGCGTGGGGGAGCTCCGCCGCGGCCCACATCAACTCCATCTCCGGGGGCGGCCAGCAGCAGCAGCCGCCGCCGCTCCTCTACTCCCAGCCCGGAGGGTTCACCGTCAACGGGATGCTGAGCCCCGGCGGCCAGGGCCTCGTCCACCCGGGGCTGGTGCGCGGGGACACGCCGGACCTGGACCACGGCTCCCACCACCACCACCACCACCACAACCAGCACCACCACCAACACCACCAGCAGCAGCACGCGCACCAGCACGCGCTCCACGGCGCCCAGCACGGAGACCCGCACTCGGACGACGACACGCCGACGTCGGACGACCTGGAGCAGTTCGCCAAGCAGTTCAAGCAGCGGCGGATCAAGCTCGGCTTCACGCAGGCGGACGTGGGCCTGGCGCTGGGCACCCTGTACGGCAACGTCTTCTCCCAGACCACCATCTGCCGGTTCGAGGCGCTGCAGCTCAGCTTCAAGAACATGTGCAAGCTGAAGCCGCTGCTGAACAAGTGGCTGGAGGAGGCCGACTCGTCCACGGGCAGCCCCACCAGCATCGACAAGATCGCGGCGCAGGGCCGCAAGCGCAAGAAGCGCACCTCCATCGAGGTGAGCGTCAAGGGCGCCCTGGAGAGCCACTTCCTCAAGTGCCCCAAGCCCTCGGCGCAGGAGATCGGCGGCCTGGCCGACAGCCTGCAGCTGGAGAAGGAGGTGGTGCGCGTGTGGTTCTGCAACCGGCGGCAGAAGGAGAAGCGCATGACGCCGCCGGGAGTGGCGCAGACGCCGGAGGAGGCGTACTCTCAGGTCGGCAACGTGAGTGCAGACACGCCGCCCCCCCCTCTCCACGGACTGCAAACGAATGTTCAGTGAGACGTAGAAAAAAAAAAACAGCACATCTCCCCACAGAGAGTATTTTATATCGAATTAAAACGGCTTAGAAAAAGAAAAAACAAAGACTATCGCCAAGATAGCGCAAAAACATTTTTTTCTTTTTTTGATACTGTGATTGTTGAGAATGAGACTGCAAAATGTGTCTAATCTATTTTACACCAGACCAAAAAAAAACAAAACAGCAACCTTTTCCCCCCCCCTCCTCCCCTTCTTCCCCCCAACCCCCCCCCCCCCCCTCTTCCAGAAAAAACTAAAAAATCCAAACAAACGCACCTTCTTCCATGGCCCGAAATGTCTGATCCTAAAAGGTTCCTTCTGCTTTTTTCTTTCAGGGGCATTTTTTAGTAGATTACTTAAAAGATGCAAGTGAAGCGAGCGACCAGAGGGTGACAACCACAAGTTCATTCCACCAGGTAATTTTGGCGCATTGAGACACACCAAGAGGGAGATCCAAGTATCGGTTTGATTTTGATTTTTTTTTTTAAATTTTTCTCCTCTGATCAATCTAAGAGGGGAGAAAAAACAATAGCAGAAACTGAAAAACGAGAGACAGAAAAAATTCCCCCCACTTCTTTATTCTGTGTTTGATTGAAGAAAAACAAAGGAGAAGACATTTTGTATATTTAAAAATGGGACTGAAACGCCCCCCCCC